AAACCAAACTTTATCCGATGGAATCATTCACAATCACACCGTAGAAGAAAAGCGTCTACAGACGTGGACAGAAGTGTTGGTGCCATTCATCCAACGACAGAAAGAAAAACCCACAATGGTCACAGAAATAACATGAATCTGACAAAAGGATTCATAAACAAAAATTCTATGAAATTTTTACCAGTGAAAATCAGACGTTGCTTTTCAACCATGTTTCGACTGAATTATTAAAAGAAATAAGCTCATGGAAGAAGCCTGGACACTAGTTATTCTGTGTAGAACAGGAGTGTGTTTTTGTGGGAGTTCCTCTGCTCTACTGTTACACACAGCCTCTTTTATGTCACGTCTTTGTGTAACTGAGCTAATTGTGTTTCTGTGTACGTGCGATCATCAGGAGGGCGATTCCCTTGGGGCGATGGAGAAGGTTTGTCGTCAGCTGACCTACCATCTCAGCCCCCACTCTCAGTGGAGGAGACGGAGCCTGCTCAAAAGGAAACCTCAGGCCTGGTGAGTGTTTCTGATTATCTGTGTCAGCGTCTGCTGCCCCTGTGGATGCTGTGGAAGAGTCTGCTACCGTCTGTGTCTGCCTGAGATCCCAGCTTCAGAGAAGAGCTGTGACTTTAAACCCGGTCCTCCGCAGGGGTTGGTCTTACTTCCACACCGTCTCCTCACACTTGCTTTATGGAGAAAGGTTATTTTTAGGGCCTGAGCCAAATGAAAGTGCATTTGCAAACACCATCAACCAGGTATTTTTGTGGGTGTTACACATAGCTTGGCAAACCATCCTATATGCACTCAACAAAAATAGAAACGCTCCGATTTTTCACGAGATGGACTTAAAGTAACTGTGACCTTAAGGTTAGGATTGGGTTGAGGGGAAGGTTAAGTAGTTCACAAGTCGTTCTCATGTCTGTCTCACCACCGGCGTCGGATACCGACGCTCTGGGACGCTGCGTCATCAGTTTGTCTCTGATCGTCGTCTCCTGATGCGCTGGGGTGTCCCAAATCGGCATATATTGACGCTTGGTCACACGCGTCAATATATTGACGCTTTGGGTGTGAGATTGTGGTGAATTACCTTCACATCCACAGATCGGTACAACGCCCGCATCACTGCAGACGCAGCACCAATCCACACATCGATTTCTTTCCCCATCCCTCCACCTCCAGCAGGTCCCTGAGGTCCAGTGATCAAAGCCTACTGGTTGTGCAGCACCAGGCTAAAGGTCAAAGGTGACAGATCATCTGCTGCTGTGGCCCCCAGACTCTGGACCTCTCTCCCCCTGAGCCTGAGATCAGTGGACTCAGTGGTCTCCTTTAAAAAGCAGCTGAAGACTCACTTGTTCAAGCTTTTAAATTTTTGTTTTTGTGATTTTTATCTTGAGAGGCGCTATAGAAAAGATCTTCTTCTTCATCTTCTTCATCTTCTTCATCATCTTCTTCTTCTTTTTCATCTTCTTCATCATCTTCTTCTTCATCTTCTTCTTCATTTTCTCATTCGTAAACAAGAGCCCGATATACTTAAACTCTTCCACTTTGGGCATCCCTGACCTTCTACCCTTTTCCTTGGTTGGTAGATTTCCTTTAAAAATATTGGATTTCTTTTGAGTGAAGCAGCTCCAATAAATCATCTGCAGTAAATCAGATCCTGACATACCTTGTTTTTGTTTGAGCTATTTGTTACGTATTGCAGAATAGGCAGAATTCACGAAGGTTTCCCAGCCACAATGGTTATAAACCCAGTCCCTGCACGGTGCTGCACAATAGGTATCAGCCAAGGAGCATCAAGACACGCTGTAAAAATCTTCAGGGTGAGAGCAGATGGTGGAAAATGACTTTGTGGTCGGACACATTTGGAGAATAGACTCCCACTGATGAGAGAAACAAGGATCAATAGGAAAAAATCCCTTTTTCCTCTTTGCTTTTAACATAAACAACAGGTGTCACCTCCTCTCTGAAGCAGCTTGCACTCCAGCGCAGGAGTGTCGCTTTTGAGAAATAACAGTTCAGTACATGACTTAGACCCCTGCTGTGTGTGTTTGGGAGTGTGTATCTACTTCACGATCTATCAAAACTGAGCTTCTGAAGTCCCTATTTGAGAAGTGACTCACTCTACTGAATTTAAATATGACCTAAAATAAGTAACTCAGGACGGGGAGTGAAATTTATTCAGTGTAGCACAGCAGCCGCTTCAGGCTGCCATCAAGTCCAGTCAGTCTGAAGCAAAGAAGTCCCATTTAGTCTGAGAGCAACAGATGAAGTGGGCTCGTCCGATTGAATGGAGGCAGCATACTTCCACTTCTACTCCATTTTAGTCGTGTCCCTCTCCCCTTGTCTTCTGTGCACTGGCTTAGAGTATGGACAAACGGGACTATCATCAGCAAGGATCAATGATGGCGCGATGAAATTATGACACGTCTCACCTTTATGTTAATATTGTTTTATTTGATGCACTCCACTTTGAACTGCACCAATCCAGCAACTGCTGCTTCTTAATAACTAGTATTAAAGGTGAGTACACCAATATTTGCACAAGAATAATTTCTGTTTTAAACTCTCTGTGACACACTTTGCAGGGGGGTTGGTATTTAATTTTTCTTGGCGTCTGGAAAAACATCTACTTCTGCCCCCTTTATTTTGGTCCAAGACCATTACTGGGCTGGCCCTGTTAAACACCTGCTACACCCCTGCTTAGTGGACTTAATGAAGTATTTTTAAGCCAGTATAAAAATGACTGAAACACACATTTACATATTTGGCATTATTGACCAATATCTTTGATGTAATTTATGTGTTAAGAACATCAAGATGCATTACAGTGAACATTATAATAAAGTACATGTTTTTAGTGCAGAGAGGAGACGACCCATAGAAGCACTGATTTGATCTCATTTCAGAGAAAACTAGAACAGGTCAGATGCACCTAATAAATAAAATTACTGACATAAACTCAGGAATCTGTTTCTTTGCTTCATTGTTCTGGTGCTGAAAATATCACTAATGCAGATCAAAGGAGATACACAGATGAATTCACCTCTTATTTATTATCTGGAGACTACATTTACTGCAGCTGGCAGAGGCAGAGATTTTTTCTATTGATGCACGGAGTTTACAGAATCATTTTAAATGTTAATAGGGGAAGACTGCAGGAGGGAGTGGTAAAATACAGGGGGTCCCCAGCAAAAACAAGAAATTTTACAAGTCTGATGAAACCCGCTGATTTTCCATCAGGCAGTCACGGGGCAGCTCCAACGACCCAGTGGCTACGCAAACTAGCAATGGGTCAATGTTATCGAGCTCGGTCTGGCTCGGCAGAGGGTGAATGAGGCAAAGTCATGCTCTGCTTAGAGGTATTGGCCAGACTCTGCCTTAAAATTGTAGAAATGCAGTATAACTACACTTTACCATCTATATAAACATGTACTGGGTCCAGTTTTTTATTTTATTAAGGACTTTTGTCATAAATCATTACAGAAAATCCAAATCCTCTCCTCCACACAGTGAAGAACTGTGTTTCGCAAACGTCGCTCCAGCACATAAAACAAGCTAGCTGCTGATGAATAACTGTTATTTGTTTACTTTCATGCTCCTAATTATTACGTAAAATTGTGTTTACAGCCGCAGCAAAAGGTCTGAGCCATGTCTGTGTCCTACACGCATTTTTAAATAACAGGTCTGATCTAAAATAATAACCTACATCTATAAATCCATCTAGAACCGCACCGCTACTTCTGGACTCCAGACGAGTCCCGTTAGCATGACTGCAGCAACACTGCTAACCGTGTTCGCTCCGGTAAGGAAAGAACAAGTCCTTTGGGAAAGCTACCCCCCCCCCCCCCCACACACACACACACACACACATATATATATAATCTAATAGATGATCTCTATATTTCAACATTAGAACCTCCATGACATCCTGGATTAGTGCAAACAACGAGTTGAGCTAAGGAGTTACTCCAGCATCAGGAAGATTAATTCTGGTAAATTGTCGGTTAAATATTTTCCAGAGTTATGTCAATAAATACACACAGCAGTAAAACTGTAGATTACTGAACTATATTGGGACACATGATGGAGCTAAGACCAGCTTAGAGCTCCCAGTGGAGCACAGAAATGAAATATTTAAGAAAAGTAAACAAACTGTACCGATTTTGGTTCTGAAGATAAACAGAATCCTCCTCTATGTGCAAATCGGGTCGCAGGTCTTCTGAGTCAAACGGTCTAAAACATGTCTGCACCTCTGGTAGTGATGTCCAGCTGGCGGGGGCGAAGTTCGGTTGAACTTCTCCAGTAATCTAATATCCGTTCTTGTCGCCGTATCCCAGAGAAAAAACAAATCTGATGGACTAGCAGAGGCTTCAGAAGCTACATCTGACTGATGACACAATGTTCTCTGCTATAACGCTAACGCAGAAACAGCGGAGCCAGGCGTTGTTTACTACAGCTGTTTCAGCAGAGCTCCATGTGAAACGTCACCAGCTGCCCAGGGCTTAGACCGGAAGTTAGTTTCTGTTTTTCCCGCGCCGGTCACAAACATCAGATTTTCTTACAATTCCAGCCGTCAAGATCCAAAAACCTTTTTCACCTGAGGTTTTAACACACATTTACACATGCTGTTCAAACGAATTTTGCCTCTGGCCGATATCTTTTAGAAAAAGTTTTATTTTTTCGCTTCAGAAGAAGTGTCCAACGTGTTTTTACGCTTTCTCCGAGACTTGTTACGTCGCTAAGTTGTTAGCGCCGTATGCTAACATGTCAGTAGTGCAGCATAGCCTGCTGGAGGTTTTAAGGGTTCAGATCGAAAACACCCGACCTCTCACGCGGCTCACACATCGATCTTAAGTTGTCGCTGTTGCGCTCATGCCGTAATACAGTATTAGATGTGGTTAAAGCCAGACATGCAAAACAATCAATTTTACATAAATAAGTGACGCTTAGCCTGGCAGGGGGAGGGAAACCTGACGGGCCGCCAGGCTAATGAGCACTGGGGGAAACCCTGCCAAGATCGTCAACACTCATCTATCTTAATGCTGTTGAAACATGTAAACCAAAAAGCTTTATATCCACTGCTGCCTTTCTAATCTGAACTCAGTAACGTATGCTGTAACCACCCTGCCCTGCCTCCTCCTCCTTGCTGCCTGCCGGCTGTGGTCACAAGCAACAGAGTTGTTCCCGCTGCCTCTTCAGGAAACAGCACAAAAAATTAAAAAAACTTGGGATCTTGTAGGCGTGGCGCTGGGATTTCAGCCATGGCAGGTCGCCACGGCAACGTCTATGTAAGGGAAACACTGCCTAGACAATCCAAAAATGGGAAAAGAGGTGGAGCTGAGGGTGGGGCTGTTAGGGTTGGAACAAATGAACCAGTGTACCTACTAGCTAACCCAAGAAGCTAAGAAGGTCTTTGGGGACTGTAGTAGCCCACCTGCATGGCAGACTGGCTTCAGAATACAGCTTCGGGCTGTATTCATGATGGTCACCTGTGGAGATCTAATATGGACTGGTAC